CATTTAGGGGGGAGGAGGTTACCAAAAAATACTATTCTTAAGAACACAAGTGTTTTGCGTAGCGGCAATGAACATTTCACCTTATCTTGACTGGTATTAAGATCAATGCATCACCTGTTACATTCCTTTGCATTGATGGGAGTAATGGATTTAACATTAAGTGAACACTTTTGTGTATTGATGGGTGGATGGAATTTAACATTCACTGAACATCCCTTTGTATCAATGGGTGGATGGAATTTAACATTCACTGAACACTCCTTTGTATTAATGGGTGGATTGGATTTAACATTAAGTGAACACTCCTTCGTATTTATGGGTGGATTGGATTAAAAATTAAGTGAACACTCCCTTGTTCTGATGAATGGATAGAATTTAACATTAACTGAACACTCCTTTGAATTAATAGGTGGACTGGATTTAGCATTAAGTGAACACTCCTTCGTATTGATGGATGAATTGGATTTAACATTAAGTGAACACTCTTTTGTATTGATGGATGGATGGGATTTAACATTAAGTGAAAACTCCTTTGTATTGATGGATGGATGGGATTTAACATTAAGTGAAAAATCCTTTGTATTGATGGAAGGATGGGATTTAACATTGAGTGAACATTCTTTTGTATTAATGGATGGATGTGATTTAACGTTAAGAAACACTCCTTCGTATTGCTGGGTGGATTGGATTTAACATTAAGTGAACACTCCTTTGTATTGATAGATGGATGGGATTTAACATTAAGTGAACACTCCTTTGTATTGATGGATGGATGGGATTTAACATTAAATGAACACTCCTTTGTATTGATGGATGGATGGATGGGATTTAACATTAAGTGAAAAATCCTTTGTATTGATGGATGGATGGGATTTAACATTAACTGAACATTTTTTTTTTTGTTCTGATGGATGGAAGGAATTCAACATAAAATGAACATTCCTTTGTATTAATGGATGGATGTGATTTAACGTTAAGGAACACTCCGTTGTATTGATGGGTGGATTGGATTTAACATTAAGTGAACACTCCTTTGTATTGATGGATGGATGGGATTTAACATTAAGTTAACACTCCTTTGTATTGATGGATGGATGGGATTTAAAATTAAGTGAACACTCCTTTGTATTGATGGATGGATGGGATTTAACATTAAGTTAACACTCCTTTGTATTGATGGATGGATGGGATTTAAAATTAAGTGAACACTCCTTTCAAAACAACTCATGTATTATATAATAGTGACGTACTGTAAATAAACAATTAATAAATGTATTGTTTTTATTATCAAAAGGAATTACTGATAAATCGTATGTCAAAAGAACATTTTCGAAAAAGTGTTGGTGATTATTTCTATGAAAAAGTTGTTTTTTTCATTCTTGCAACCGTTTAAAAAACAGTTTTAGATTGCTCTCACGTATGATAGCCTTGTTTGGGGAGTGGATGATATATTTACTTAAAACAAAGATCTTCAAACGTTACAGCAACCTTTAACCCTCAAACTAATTACAACAAAAAAACAGTTAACCTGACCGAAATAAATTTGACAGTATTTATAAGTCTTCTTCCGAGTAAGTTTACCATTTCGAACTCAATCCTGAAATCACACAAATACAAACCAATTATCACAGTTGCCATAACAATGAATATGCTGCTGTTCGAGCCAAGAGTTTTTGAAGTATGTCACTGTGATGTCTTATATGTTATATCAATATGTAAAAAAACTGTCTACGGATTTTCTTGTACGTTCTTTTTTGTACTTTTTGCTATTTTAAAGGCATGGTTAAGATCGCTAAAAACAAATGCATGTACCAGGAACTTCCTAATTAGCTGTTTTGTTGTAACTTAAAATATGTTTGTTATATTGCATTGCGTATTTAGCAATGATGGCAGGATTTGGATAGCTTGTCGAATCTATTTGCATCGTTCTTGTATTTTAAAGGCCGTATGTTTACATCAAGATGTTGTTTGGCTTTTTCTTGTATGGATTTGTTATCGTCGTACATGTTGTATTGACGTTGACCTTGAATCTCTTATTTTTAATATTGTTTTACATGAAGCAGCTTCATCGTGCATGACTTAAATTACGGATTTTATTATTTGCGTAACTAACAGCGGTAAATAATTCTGCACAGCGATGTTAAGGCAATTTCGATTAGATTTAGTCAGTGGCAGATAACCCCGTTAGGACCTCATTGTGTATTCATATATTCATTGATGGCGGAGAGTCCGTAAGCTGCGTCTATCGATAAAACTGTATGAAATCAAATTACATACATGCCTGTTAACTTATAACGGGTATCCATATGGTGTAATATGTTTACTGAAACACGAATATCGTATGTTTGTGCTTTAATTATTATGGTGAGATAGTCGGCTTGTGGACCCCGCCTCTTTTTGCAAGCGGATAAAACAGTCATAAACTAATTCAAATACATCATTGTTATTTCCTTTAATATCTTTTATTTTATTTTTGGGGACCAAGTATTTTTTAAAGCAGTTTTCTGATTATCCCTTTTCGGATCTTGTATGTTGTACGATCTACAGCATGTGGTATATTTTGTTGATTTAATATTATAAATAAGAAGATGTGGTATGATTTCCAATGAGACAACTCTGCATCCAAGACATAATATATAAAAAATTTATAGTTATAGGTTAAAGCCTCACAACGAGCAGCAAGTTATAAAAGGCTTAAAAAATTAATGATGTAAAAAAATTCAAGCAAATAAACGGTCTAATCTACATAAAAAACGACAACGAGAAACACCTATAAACCACACAAACAAACGACAACTACTGAACAACAAGTTCCTGACATAGGTTAGGTACATACAAATGCAGCGGGTTTTAACGTTTTAACAGGCGCCGACTTTCACCGTAGCCTGAGACAGTAATGTTACATTACAGTATGTAAAATACACAACTTACCCTTTCAATATTGAAAGCAATGGACGTGTAAAAGAACTGAAAATATTTGAGAAGCAACGGACATGAGAAGGCTTGCCGAGTCACGAACTGCTCTGCCGAAAATATCATTGAGAACAAGCAGTCCAGTAAGCACGGTTACCGACCAAGTGCTAGAAATTAACACGTAATGGATACATTTAAAATTACAATTAGTGATAAATTATCTCACTAAATTTCAACGTACTCTTATTCCACGTTATAATTGATAGATGTAACGACATTTTTTGTAAACTTTTGTTCACCAGGATAAAATCGTAAAAACCCCGATGGGTTTAACAGTATGGTTATTCCTTGAGTACTCTCTTTCAAGCAGAAAAAAACCTTGCTAACGTTTAATTCGTCCGTTTAGCTGTGAAGACTCGATTACGTCGCAGCCGAAATGATGGGACGTTTAATATGATGACTCGTGTAGATGAGTGACACACTCTCTGCAAATTGAAGACTTCTAGCAGTAACCCCATGAGGAGTCCGTAGATGGCCTATCACAAGGCAAAAATTCTTACTAAGGCTAACGTAAATATATTATTTTTTCAATCGACAGTTTAAATTTCCGCCTTTCATTCTAGTATTTAAATCTGAAATGATATACTGTATTGATAGTTAATTCATACTCGTCATGAATACGTATGAAATACTTGCCACTGGACGTCTAGCAAAAATCAGAAATCGTTATCGATTGGAAAATGTATTTTAAGGTCACGATATTTTTTCTTTCTTTAAAAGCTGGTATATCAAAACTCATAGTTGTTGATTCCATCTTTGTAAAGTCAAAAGCAAATCGTAGGTTATAATAATATACACGTCTGTCTTACAAAACTATAACCCTGTTATTATTGATAAGTTTTTGTGTTATTTAAAATGGCACATTTATTGATATATTCTAGAATATTTATAAATTTGATTTGCATGATTGCATTTTGTAACGTTTAATTTACATTTTTAAATCATTTGAAATGTGTTACATTATGCAGTGACATGTAGAGTTTCATTGAATCGGAATACCTTCTTTAGTGTAGCTGTTATTTTTAGACGTGTACAATTATTAAAAGGAAAAGTGTTTACTGTGGCATATAATTATGGTAAGTCCTTGTCAGTTCATTCCGAAATTTACAGTGGCGTCTTGTTTTATTGTGTATAAACGCGTAGCCACGTTTAGTGTGATAAGCATAAAATCAGATACTTCGTGTAGAGATAGTGCCACACGTATATGTATAACATAACCCATGCAACAACTCTTAGAGGGATTCATTGATGACCTGTTGTAAAGTTGTTCACGTCCTGATACAAAATGTAATAAATGCAAATGTTGGTAGATTTTGAAAGCTGTAATATTAAACAGTGTTCACACAGCATGTCATGTACCGAAAAACCTGCAAATAGGGCAGTTGTCTGACAAAAAGCGTGTAATTGGATCAATAGAAATATGCATTTTGCTTAAAAAAGATATGTTTTGATTTGAAAAAAAAAAACAAATGCTATGATTTTAGACGTGCTTCTGGACACAAATGACAGTTTTTGGTAGGGTTTGTTTTCTACAATTTCAAAAATCAAAAACGTTCTAAGAAGAGGAAAGATTGTTCCCTTATTATGAAGCGATGGTGTTTTTCTTTCCTCTTTCAGTGTTTATTTTGTTTATGGGGGGGTTTTTTGGTTTATTTTTTAGCCATCAGATATTTGACAAAAGTGAAATGCTTCGAGAGCACATTTCATATGAATAACTCTTCAATACAAATGTAAATAAAACGAAAATAATAAGTTCACTAACATAATGTGTATTTACTTATATGCTGGTATTTTGTGTCACCTCTCTTTTAATATCGTCACCTTACGTGTACATAAGACAAAATTAATAACTTTGTTATATAGAGAAATAATGTTGAGTCTATAGTGATATTTTATACATGGTACTAACAAAATATAACTGGCAAAATTCCAAAAACTATTTCATTTAACAATTTGTACTGGAATATTGTAATACAATATTGAGTTTTCTTTCTTTAGAACTGATAAATAAACATAATTTACACATCTATCGAACCGCTTTTGGTTATTTATCTGTTGTTTGATCGAGCTGCTGTTGGTTAGGGCTTAGTACCTGGAAAGGTAAAAAATAATAAAAAATACAAGATTTATGATATATTAATGTGAATTTATGTTATCTCTCATTTATTTCTCTTTGAAAATAGAGTGTAATATATTTTCATTAGATATAAAATGGATGACCAAATAGTACAAATTAGGTGCCAACTCATTCGGTGATATCACAATCGGGGAAAAGTGGATTGTTGTTTCGTTTATTGGAACATATATGTGGTCATGTGTAACACAATTATAGCATAAAGGTAAACCAATTCATGATAACGTTCGTCAAACTTTTAATGAGCTTTGGATTTTTCAAAAACATTGGCCTCGAACATCACTTAAGAGACAGTGATTGTCGAAATGCGCATCTGGTGCAGAAAAAATGTTACCGTTTAAGTTATTTCGAAGAGATGACTTCAAATTTACTACTTGAATAAAAAAAAATAGCATACGAGACTTATAGCACGAAAATGGTATTATTTGACAAAAAAACATTATGCCTGGTACAATACCCACTCATTCGCGCTTTTTTTGGAGATCATGTAATCCCCTCAGCTTTTGTTCGTTACCTTGATTTGTCTCCTTTATTGATTTATGAGATTTGATAAAAAAAATGCCTAAAGATATTGTTATACAATAAATATACCAAGACTTCAAAATTATTAAACACCGATCTAAGATTTCTATGTTTAGCAATGCAGGAATAACATCCACATTGCTAAACATATTCTATGTAGGAAATAATAGCATAAGAGCAGTGTGTTAAACCTTTACAAAAATAAATATTTGCATTACCTTTACTGCATGGAATGATTTTAGGTGGGCCATAACATTTCACTTTTCCTATATAGAATGTCCTAGGCTGACCAGTACAGAGCCCTGGTGCAGGAGGTGCATAATGTGGACATTGGTCTAAAATTAATTATGAAGTCAAATATTGAAATGTCATATCTGATATAACAGAGACAGATAAGGAACAACTTTAACAGAGACATTCCATAAGTTATGATTATTTTACAGTCAAATCTAAAAACGTATAATTTCGTTATCAAAATGATCACAATAGCTTTCTGACTTAACATTTTACACTATGATTTTTTTTTTCACCTGACCAACGCATGGTGAAAATCGCACGGATTAATTGATTAATGTCCGTCATTGAATCACTCGTTGGGAAATTTTCTATCTAATCCGTCTTTTATGTTGTTTCGGGTTGTTATACAGTGGATTATAATATCGTGCCGTGCTCATTGAAGCGATACAAATTGACCTAGATGCTGTTCTTTAGGTTCTGATTTTGAAAAGGATTCTAAAAAGGAGACATTCCTTGTTGCTAAAAAAACAAATGTTCTGCAAATTAATGAATGACTAGGCCCTTTAATCAAGTAAAGCCTCTATGAGCATGTGGAAAATCGATCGTTCTATCGTTTAGCTTCAGGACAACACAGGGTGATCAAATTTAATTTGTATGTCTGCAAACAACAAGAGATTCGGCAACTGAATATGATTATCGAATTAACCATGTTTGTAAATTTTTCTATTTCAAATTGAATTCCTCCGAAACCCCTTCTTTCTTTCCTCTTTCAGTGTTTATTTTGTTTTTTTGGGGGGTTTTTTGGTTTATTTTTTAGCCATCAGATATTTGACAAAAGTGAAATGCTTCGAGAGCATATTTCATATGAATAACTCTTCAATACAAATGTAAATAAAACGAAAATAATAAGTTCACTAACATAATGTGTATTTACTTATATGCTGGTATTTTGTGTCACCTCTCTTTTAATACCGTCACCTTACGTGTACATAAGACAAAATTAATAACTTTGTTATATAGAGAAATAATGTTGAGTCTATAGTGATATTTTATACATGGTACTAACAAAATATAACTGGCAAAATTCCAAAAACTATTTCATTTAACAATTTGTACTGGAATATTGTAATACAATATTGAGTTTTCTTTCTTTAGAACTGATAAATAAACATAATTTACACATCTATCGAACCGCTTTTGGTTATTTATCTGTTGTTTGATCGAGCTGCTGTTGGTTAGGGCTTAGTACCTGGAAAGGTAAAAAATAATAAAAAATACAAGATTTATGATATATTAATGTGAATTTATGTTATCTCTCATTTATTTCTCTTTGAAAATAGAGTGTAATATATTTTCATTAGATATAAAATGGATGACCAAATAGTACAAATTAGGTGCCAACTCATTCGGTGATATCACAATCGGGGAAAAGTGGATTGTTGTTTCGTTTATTGGAACATATATGTGGTCATGTGTAACACAATTATAGCATAAAGGTAAACCAATTCATGATAACGTTCGTCAAACTTTTAATGAGCTTTGGATTTTTCAAAAACATTGGCCTCGAACATCACTTAAGAGACAGTGATTGTCGAAATGCGCATCTGGTGCAGAAAAAATTTTACCGTTTAAGTTATTTCGAAGAGATGACTTCAAATTTACTACTTGAATAAAAAAAAATAGCATACGAGACTTATAGCACGAAAATGGTATTATTTGACAAAAAAACATTATGCCTGGTACAATACCCACTCATTCGCGCTTTTTTTGGAGATCATGTAATCCCCTCAGCTTTTGTTCGTTACCTTGATTTGTCTCCTTTATTGATTTATGAGATTTGATAAAAAAATGCCTAAAGATATTGTTATACAATAAATATACCAAGACTTCAAAATTATTAAACACCGATCTAAGATTTCTATGTTTAGCAATGCAGGAATAACATCCACATTGCTAAACATATTCTATGTAGGAAATAATAGCATAAGAGCAGTGTGTTAAACCTTTACAAAAATAAATATTTGCATTACCTTTACTGCATGGAATGATTTTAGGTGGGCCATAACATTTCACTTTTCCTATATAGAATGTCCTAGGCTGACCAGTACAGAGCCCTGGTGCAGGAGGTGCATAATGTGGACATTGGTCTAAAATTAATTATGAAGTCAAATATTGAAATGTCATATCTGATATAACAGAGACAGATAAGGAACAACTTTAACAGAGACATTCCATAAGTTATGATTATTTTACAGTCAAATCTAAAAACGTATAATTTCGTTATCAAAATGATCACAATAGCTTTCTGACTTAACATTTTACACTATGATTTTTTTTTTCACCTGACCAACGCATGGTGAAAATCGCACGGATTAATTAATTAATGTCCGTCATTGAATCACTCGTTGGGAAATTTTCTATCTCTAATCCGTCTTTTATGTTGTTTCGGGTTGTTATACAGTGGATTATAATATCGTGCCGTGCTCATTGAAGCGATACAAATTGACCTAGATGCTGTTCTTTAGGTTCTGATTTTGAAAAGGATTCTAAAAAGGAGACATTCCTTGTTGCTAAAAAAACAAATGTTCTGCAAATTAATGAATGACTAGGCCCTTTAATCAAGTAAAGCCTCTATGAGCATGTGGAAAATCGATCGTTCTATCGTTTAGCTTCAGGACAACACAGGGTGATCAAATTTAATTTGTATGTCTGCAAACAACAAGAGATTCGGCAACTGAATATGATTATCGAATTAACCATGTTTGTAAATTTTTCTATTTCAAATTGAATTCCTCCGAAACCCCTTCTTTCTTTCCTCTTTCAGTGTTTATTTTGTTTTTTTGGGGGGTTTTTTGGTTTATTTTTTAGCCATCAGATATTTGACAAAAGTGAAATGCTTCGAGAGCATATTTCATATGAATAACTCTTCAATACAAATGTAAATAAAACGAAAATAATAAGTTCACTAACATAATGTGTATTTACTTATATGCTGGTATTTTGTGTCACCTCTCTTTTAATACCGTCACCTTACGTGTACATAAGACAAAATTAATAACTTTGTTATATAGAGAAATAATGTTGAGTCTATAGTGATATTTTATACATGGTACTAACAAAATATAACTGGCAAAATTCCAAAAACTATTTCATTTAACAATTTGTACTGGAATATTGTAATACAATATTGAGTTTTCTTTCTTTAGAACTGATAAATAAACATAATTTACACATCTATCGAACCGCTTTTGGTTATTTATCTGTTGTTTGATCGAGCTGCTGTTGGTTAGGGCTTAGTACCTGGAAAGGTAAAAAATAATAAAAAATACAAGATTTATGATATATTAATGTGAATTTATGTTATCTCTCATTTATTTCTCTTTGAAAATAGAGTGTAATATATTTTCATTAGATATAAAATGGATGACCAAATAGTACAAATTAGGTGCCAACTCATTCGGTGATATCACAATCGGGGAAAAGTGGATTGTTGTTTCGTTTATTGGAACATATATGTGGTCATGTGTAACACAATTATAGCATAAAGGTAAACCAATTCATGATAACGTTCGTCAAACTTTTAATGAGCTTTGGATTTTTCAAAAACATTGGCCTCGAACATCACTTAAGAGACAGTGATTGTCGAAATGCGCATCTGGTGCAGAAAAAATGTTACCGTTTAAGTTATTTCGAAGAGATGACTTCAAATTTACTACTTGAATAAAAAAAAATAGCATACGAGACTTATAGCACGAAAATGGTATTATTTGACAAAAAAACATTATGCCTGGTACAATACCCACTCATTCGCGCTTTTTTTGGAGATCATGTAATCCCCTCAGCTTTTGTTCGTTACCTTGATTTGTCTCCTTTATTGATTTATGAGATTTGATAAAAAAATGCCTAAAGATATTGTTATACAATAAATATACCAAGACTTCAAAATTATTAAACACCGATCTAAGATTTCTATGTTTAGCAATGCAGGAATAACATCCACATTGCTAAACATATTCTATGTAGGAAATAATAGCATAAGAGCAGTGTGTTAAACCTTTACAAAAATAAATATTTGCATTACCTTTACTGCATGGAATGATTTTAGGTGGGCCATAACATTTCACTTTTCCTATATAGAATGTCCTAGGCTGACCAGTACAGAGCCCTGGTGCAGGAGGTGCATAATGTGGACATTGGTCTAAAATTAATTATGAAGTCAAATATTGAAATGTCATATCTGATATAACAGAGACAGATAAGGAACAACTTTAACAGAGACATTCCATAAGTTATGATTATTTTACAGTCAAATCTAAAAACGTATAATTTCGTTATCAAAATGATCACAATAGCTTTCTGACTTAACATTTTACACTATGATTTTTTTTTCACCTGACCAACGCATGGTGAAAATCGCACGGATTAATTGATTAATGTCCGTCATTGAATCACTCGTTGGGAAATTTTCTATCTCTAATCCGTCTTTTATGTTGTTTCGGGTTGTTATACAGTGGATTATAATATCGTGCCGTGCTCATTGAAGCGATACAAATTGACCTAGATGCTGTTCTTTAGGTTCTGATTTTGAAAAGGATTCTAAAAAGGAGACATTCCTTGTTGCTAAAAAAACAAATGTTTTGCAAATTAATGAATGACTAGGCCCTTTAATCAAGTAAAGCCTCTATGAGCATGTGGAAAATCGATCGTTCTATCGTTTAGCTTCAGGACAACACAGGGTGATCAAATTTAATTTGTATGTCTGCAAACAACAAGAGATTCGGCAACTGAATATGATTATCGAATTAACCATGTTTGTAAATTTTTCTATTTCAAATTGAATTCCTCCGAAACCCCTTCTTTCTTTCCTCTTTCAGTGTTTATTTTGTTTTTTTGGGGGGTTTTTTGGTTTATTTTTTAGCCATCAGATATTTGACAAAAGTGAAATGCTTCGAGAGCATATTTCATATGAATAACTCTTCAATACAAATGTAAATAAAACGAAAATAATAAGTTCACTAACATAATGTGTATTTACTTATATGCTGGTATTTTGTGTCACCTCTCTTTTAATACCGTCACCTTACGTGTACATAAGACAAAATTAATAACTTTGTTATATAGAGAAATAATGTTGAGTCTATAGTGATATTTTATACATGGTACTAACAAAATATAACTGGCAAAATTCCAAAAACTATTTCATTTAACAATTTGTACTGGAATATTGTAATACAATATTGAGTTTTCTTTCTTTAGAACTGATAAATAAACATAATTTACACATCTATCGAACCGCTTTTGGTTATTTATCTGTTGTTTGATCGAGCTGCTGTTGGTTAGGGCTTAGTACCTGGAAAGGTAAAAAATAATAAAAAATACAAGATTTATGATATATTAATGTGAATTTATGTTATCTCTCATTTATTTCTCTTTGAAAATAGAGTGTAATATATTTTCATTAGATATAAAATGGATGACCAAATAGTACAAATTAGGTGCCAACTCATTCGGTGATATCACAATCGGGGAAAAGTGGATTGTTGTTTCGTTTATTGGAACATATATGTGGTCATGTGTAACACAATTATAGCATAAAGGTAAACCAATTCATGATAACGTTCGTCAAACTTTTAATGAGCTTTGGATTTTTCAAAAACATTGGCCTCGAACATCACTTAAGAGACAGTGATTGTCGAAATGCGCATCTGGTGCAGAAAAAATGTTACCGTTTAAGTTATTTCGAAGAGATGACTTCAAATTTACTACTTGAATAAAAAAAAATAGCATACGAGACTTATAGCACGAAAATGGTATTATTTGACAAAAAAACATTATGCCTGGTACAATACCCACTCATTCGCGCTTTTTTTGGAGATCATGTAATCCCCTCAGCTTTTGTTCGTTACCTTGATTTGTCTCCTTTATTGATTTATGAGATTTGATAAAAAAAATGCCTAAAGATATTGTTATACAATAAATATACCAAGACTTCAAAATTATTAAACACCGATCTAAGATTTCTATGTTTAGCAATGCAGGAATAACATCCACATTGCTAAACATATTCTATGTAGGAAATAATAGCATAAGAGCAGTGTGTTAAACCTTTACAAAAATAAATATTTGCATTACCTTTACTGCATGGAATGATTTTAGGTGGGCCATAACATTTCACTTTTCCTATATAGAATGTCCTAGGCTGACCAGTACAGAGCCCTGGTGCAGGAGGTGCATAATGTGGACATTGGTCTAAAATTAATTATGAAGTCAAATATTGAAATGTCATATCTGATATAACAGAGACAGATAAGGAACAACTTTAACAGAGACATTCCATAAGTTATGATTATTTTACAGTCAAATCTAAAAACGTATGGTGAAAATCGCACGGATTAATTGATTAATGTCCGTCATTGAATCACTCGTTGGGAAATTTTCTATCTCTAATCCGTCTTTTATGTTGTTTCGGGTTGTTATACAGTGGATTATAATATCGTGCTGTGCTCATTGAAGCGATACAAATTGACCTAGATGCTGTTCTTTAGGTTCTGATTTTGAAAAGGATTCTAATAAGGAGACATTCCTTGTTGCTAAAAAACAAATGTTTTGCAAATTAATGAATGACTAGGCCCTTTAATCAAGTAAAGCCTCTATGAGCATGTGGAAAATCGATCGTTCTATCGTTTAGCTTCAGGACAACACAGGGTGATCAAATTTAATTTGTATGTCTGCAAACAACAAGAGATTCGGCAACTGAATATGATTATCGAATTAACCATGTTTGTAAATTTTTCTATTTCAAATTGAATTCCTCCGAAACCCCTTCTTTTTCAAACTGGTTTTTAAACTTGGTAATGTTTTTATTGCATATACTAGAAGCGACCTCATTTTTTCATATATTTTATTTTGTCAAATAACATGCAAAGTGATTTCAACTTACTTGCTTTGCATCGACACTTCTGACAGCCGTTTACGTAATAAGTGTAATAAGTTCCATATGGACAAAAACATGCCATTTTAAGACATGCTAAAATAGAAAATGTATTTACTCATACCACATCTTTTTATATCTATTTACAACCAGTATTCACTTAAGCAGAATCTAAGCATTGCAATCTTTGCATGCAAAACATACTAATATATATATTTTTGACATGGTTGTTAGTCGCAGTAATATCAAAAACTATCTTTTTTTTCTATTTTCCGCGTTTGTTTATAGTGATCTCTTATACAGCCGATATAAATCAATTTGATATTACTCATATTTATAAGTTTAACTATGTTATCAGTATGTATTCTACCTTCACATGAAGGTATTGAAATAACATCACAAATAAAAAAAATCTATTGAACACATCAGCGCATGTTATTTCTGCAAATCGCCAAAAATTAAACTACGCATCATATCCAAACAAACATATGTACTGAATAACGTTTTATTTTTTGTTAAACTGTACAGTAAGTCCGTAATTCGAAATCAGCAAAGACTCGCTTGTCCGTTCATCTCCATTACTATGAATAATTGAATACATTTAATAAATTTTCCTTTACAAAAATTAAGAAATAGTCCATTACAGATTTTTTTTCAAATGACAAAAGACAAAAATACCGAACTCGAAGAAAATTCAAAACGGAAAGTCCCTTATCAAATGGCAAAACTAAAATCTCAAACACATCAATCGAGTGGAAAGCAACTGTCATATATCCGAATTCATACAGACATTTCCTTGTGTAGAAAATTCTATGTTTGCCATTAATGTTTAAGACTTTTGTCATATTGAAATACACTTGAATGCTCAAAAATCTTAAGTAAACGTTCAAAGAAGCCTGATTCCTAGAGACATTAATTTGATCTTTATGACAAAAACAAAGCTAAAACGTTTGTGCCGATGGTTCGCGACACATAAAATAATGGTCACATACCTTGTTAGGAAAAAATAGAAAAACAGATGAAATGAAAATTAATGATTTCTCATCCTTTGTGAGAAAAAATAATCACCAAAAATATAATATAAAAAAATCTATACGAACTAAACAAAAAGTATACCACTGTCCGTTTAAAGGGGAGACTGTTCTGTCGAATTTTAGTAGGATGATAAATTGTATGATGTTAAGTGAAAAAGACCTTTAAATGGCCTTACTTATTGTGATAAAACATGTATCAATTCAAATTTTGTCATTCATCTTTGCATATTTAAAGTCTCTAGCGCAAACTTTTTTTTTTGCCAGGCTCTTACTGATTGATGGCTAGGTAAAGCTGTAAACTGACATTGTTTTCACTCTATATTACATACGCAGCTTATTGAATTTTGAGCACGACACAGTTTGATTAAACACGGTTTATGAAAAAAAAACTGAATATCATAAGCTAGCAATCTTTTTCATATGTAAAAAAAATGAGTGCCAATTATTATACGAATGTATTCTGTCTTTCATCTAAATCATTGTCTTCTTAATAGATTGGTAAATGGTAAATAATCTAAAATAATGTATTCTCACGTGTTGTGGATCTTGTTTGCTGAAATAAAAAAAAACCACAACATTCATGATTGACCGTAGCAATTAACGAAACGTGTAGAAAAAAAATGACAATTCAGCCTCGGAAGAATTGAGCAAGACTTACACATATAATTTCATTTGTAATAATCAAGTCAGGTTAGATAAAGTCAATAGAACAAACTCAATACTCGCATTTCAATGAATATTAAAGTAAATACTAAACCGAACCTGTGCATAACCAGCTATAAAAAGGATCAAAATTCCAACTTGCCACATTTTTGTACGAACAGGTAAATGTAAATGAATGATACGTAGACAACATTTTATACTTATACATTGTTACAGGAAACTCTTCAAAGATGTCACAAAAATGTGTTCATGTGATAAATGGTTAGTTTTAGGAAAAACGTTAAAAACACAAATGTACAGATTAAATTATCGCATTGCAACTTGATGTACATTTCGACATGGATAATGAGTAGACGAAACCGTTGTAGAATGAAGTATCAGAGACAATAATAAATGAATTAGTAGTTCATACAACAACAAGTTCTCTAAAATGAATTAAAAGTTCATAAAACAACGAGTTGTCTAAAATGATTTAGTAGTTCATACAACAACGGATCGTCTAAATGAATTAGTAGTTCATACAACAACGAGTCGTCTAAAAGGAATAAGATGTTCATACAAAAATGAGTGGTCTAAAATGAATTAGTAGTTCATATAGCAACGAGTCGTGTAAAACGAACGAGTAGTTCATACAACAACGAGCCGTCTAAATGAATGAGGAATTCATACAACAATGAGTCGTCTATAATGAATGAGCAATTCATAAAGCAACGAGTCGTGTAAAACGAACGAGCAGTTCATATAGCAACAAGTTGTCTTAAATGAATAAGTAGTTCATACAGCAAACGGCAAGCGTCATTACATCCGAACGAACGTTGCATATAAGACTGCATTTGAGTTTTTTTAATACATGTACTTGTAAACTAATCTGTTAATTTTGCTTCATATATATATACACTACCAAGAATTTACCCACATTTTTTTGGGACATTTTCACCCTCTTACATATCAGTACTGTTCGGTAAGACTAAAACACTTGTAATGCTATACTTTCTATTATTTCAGCACTGTTCATTATTATACAATAACTGTACCTTAAACAATTCTATAAATTCAGTACCTGATGTACATGTCAGTCTCGCAGGATTTATTTGACCTAGACCTCATTTCCACAGTTCATTGCTCAGTGTTAAGTTTTTTTGCTTTGCTTTTGTCTGATTTTCTAAAAATAAAAGCAATAGGTCAACTATATATGTTGCATAGAAGGATTGTAAGCTGTACATGTCTGCCTGGCATGGTTCATATGACCTTGACCTAATTTTCATTGTTCATTGGTCAATATTTAGTTTTTCTTGGTTAATTCTGTTTCTTAGAAACTATAAGCAATATGTCAACTATATTTAGCGTATTGAATGATTGTAAGGTGTACATGTATTTCTCCTTCGGTTTATATGACCTTGACCTCATTTTCCTGGATCATGTTTTAGTTTATGTGATAGTTTTATTAAAGCTTTATATTTAGGACTATCAACATAATATCAATGGTTAGTAAAGAAGGCGAACCATTTTAGCGTTTTCACTCTTGTTTTATTTAGGAATAAATTTAAACTTTGATTTATTATATGAATACATATGTATCATAGTATATACAGTAATAAGTACATTTTAATTACCATTCCCTTTAAGAGTTGTGCATTCTTTTTCTTTTAACAAAAAAATAAAGAAATATAAGACAGTTTATAATAGCCTTCATCAGGTCCTTTCGTTTTCTTTTCTCAGAATGATTAACAGCATAGGAGACAGGAGCTGAAATGGGAACGTTCGATGTGAAAATTGATGACCTATACAGAAGGATGCATTAATATGGCACTCATCTAAAAAGACAACATTTAATCATGAACCATGTAAACCCGAGTTTCGTACAAGTACCAAAACATAAAAGATTGATGCTTATAATGAGCTCACATTAGAACTTAAGTGTCCTCTGGAATAACCAATCTACATGTAGAAAGACAAATCATATGTGAATTTGAATTGAAGAAAAGACACCAGTCAGGAAATTGGCATTCTACGAAGCATTCAAAAAGAAAAGATGGCAAAAGAGGGGGGTGCAATAAAACATGATACAAGCATGATTAGGTGTTTCTTTGATTGTATTATTTAGGAACCTTAAAGGTTTATAAGATAATCAAGGGGTTATATAGTACAATTGTATCATAAGTTTCTGCTGGATTTAACTATAGTTTGTACTTATATATTAAATATGATAAATAAAAGAAATTCCAGTTATGATAAAAAAAGAAAATGAGACATTGTTTTATGTTTATTATAATACATTACCTGACATATCATCACATTAAAGCATTAATGGCAACATGTTTTGACCAATAGCAAATTACCAAAATGAACATTATTGAAGATTCTATTCTTGTTAAATATATGTATAAATTGTCCGGTTTTATACACATTGATATTGTGAAATATCAGCCTCGAACCACAATGTGAATCTCTCTGGTGTCGAGAGCGTAAGTTTTTACGATATGTATGCACAGAAAGACAATTACAATCATAATCAAGGAATAAACAAAGACTCATAAAATTAAAGGGCATTTACAACGAAAGTTAGAAGAAAAAAAAACAACTAACTCCACTAAAAACCGGGAGAGAAATCAGGTGCTCCGAAAAAATAAACAATTCCCATCAGAAAATCCGATAAACTGCTCATCTTGCTACATTTCTGTTGATTTTCCCTTCACTTGAATAGAATTTCGATAGACGAAAGTAAGCTTGATACTTTTCCTCAGTCATTTTCACGTCGCTGATAAGTCCTGCTCAGCAGGGTGATATAGGCGAAGAGAATAACGATAAGTTTTATTATGTACCAGCAAAACATGGGTAATAGATATATTGTCACAGAATTATCAAATCTATATTTGGATACCAATTGTACTCAGATGCACATGTGTCAAAATTTCTCTGATGATAGAGGCCAGCACTGAATCAGAGATGTCTTCACAAGATACAAAATAATAAAAAAAATAATAAAAAAAAGTCATGTCACAATATACCATACTATACTTACCTAGTTTATAAGTTTTCAGTTTCCAATATTTTTTAAACAATATGCATTCAAATTAAAGAGGTAATCCATACCAAAATCAACTGCTACAGCTAGAATCAACTATTTCTATATGGATAAGGTGCGCACTGAAAAGTAAGTATTTACTTAAACAGTAAATGAAAAAATCAGTACAAAAATAGTACTAATAAAATCGGTACTAAAATGAAACACTTCAACAGTACTGAAACAGTACTGCAAAAATCAATACTGAAACAATACTGACAAAATCAGTACTGAAACAGTACTTACGAAATCAGTACTGAAACAGTACTTTAAAAATCAGTACTGAATTTATAGAATTTGTTACGGTACAGTTATTGTATAATAATGAACAGTGCTGAAATAATAGAAAGTATAACATTACAAGTGTTTAAGTCTTACCGAACAGTACTGATATGCAAGAGGGTAGAAATGTACCAAAAAAAAAACGTGGGTAAATTCTTGGTAGTGTAAATAGTTTAAAATTTATGTAAATTATTGTATATGATAATTCATGTTATAGTCTCTCATAATTGTGAATAGAATGAGCTTGTATATGTTTTAACATTTAAGCTTAGGATATTTCACTATTAGTTTTACTATACGCGATGTTTTATATAAGTACTCGAATCTTTTATGATATACAAGTGATGAGACTTTAATAAAATATTGAATCTGAATCTATATATTTCTAGTTATCAATCTTAGAAATGTCGGAAAGAATAAAAAAATGTCGTGCACAATTCATGATATCAATTGACCACATGTCCCTAATAACAGTGGTAAACAAGGATCAAGTAACATCTGCTTTAACCATGGTGTCATTATAATAGTCAACAACTATATATTGTTAATCTCTTTCCTGTTAACAAATGAAATTAAATAAGGAAATGTTGCTTTTTCATATTTTATTTGTCAAACCAACCTGAAGTGAATTACGTTTAAAGATTTGTAGAAAATATAATACATACATTTGCTTATTTTCTTGTCATATAAATGTTTTTTTACATTCACATATGCTATAAATCGGACAATGCAAAAGCATACACATCTCATAAATGAGTTTTATTGGTTAAGAAATAGTAAACAAACCTACGTGGCGTTTGCATTTAGGACCCAAACAGCAGTATGTGGTTTACAACTATTGTCACCAGGTCTTTTTCCTCTCTAATCAAAATTCAGACGCCGGTTTCTTTTTGAAAGATAGACACACGGTGACCTATAGTTGTTAATTTCTGTGTCATTTGATCTCTTGTGGAGAGTTGTCTCATAGGCAATCATACCAAAACTATGTTTTTATATATACAACCAGAGATGGTAAAAATCGAGAGGTAAAATTCGATCTTTTTTAATTGAAGAGTTCCAAGCTCTCTTTTTTATTCTCTCAATCTGCATGATCTGCATGGAACATTTGTCGTTTGACATTAGCAAACAACAGTAGTTGTCGAAACGTATACTATAAAAAAAATATCATGGATGGGTATTTTAAATTCTGCTCATACTGCATATACGTGTGAATTTAACTGTGATTGTACATCTTCACTTACTCAATAGTTTTGCATTGGAAAATGGACATACTAGTAATAAGAAATACAAACCACCCTATTCTAAGGTGAAATATGTATTTCAACACTGCCTTAAAAAAACGAATGTATTAAGATATGAGATGCAATTTGTTTTTCCAATATTCAATGTACAACTGTTTGATTTACACAATACTACAAGAACGAGGTCAATATTCTAATGGTGCAGGTTTAATATTTTTCATGTCTGGGCCGTTTATAGCCGACCATTTTTTGTTCATCATTGAAGGCATAAGAGCTACCTATAATTGCTTACATCCACTTCGTTTGACCTTTTGTGGATAGTTGTCTCATTGGCAATCATACATGTAACACATCTCCGTATCTTTATAGTAATAGGTCACATTTTTAAAATATACAGCGGAACTTTGTATGACATTCTTTGATATTTTCGTTATTAAATTCAATCTTTTATATTTTTTCAAAGATATCGAGTGTTTGACTCCTATTTTTATTTTGATTTCCTTGAAATAGAAAATACGTCACATGTACACCACTAACTGCGCATTGATAAAGGAGACGATATGCAAATTCACGTTTTACAGGTCAATTGTAAAAAAAAGTATGTCATCAAAACAAGAGTTATATGACGTTTTGAAGTATGCACAATCTTAAAAAAGACGCTAACATTTAACACAAGCTTGTAAAGATTTGCAAAAGTTGCTTTTTGACAATGTAAGTATCTGTGATTTTTGTCTGATACTACTAAACAAAGGAGACAATAAACTGAGAACGTCAACATACTTTATTTCCATAACTTAGAAATCTAAAACAAAATAATCTTTCGTCTTGTCTCGAGCGTTGATCATTGAACTGGATCTACACGCCACTTAGACAATCTTTGTTTCAAGAGCATCCACGTTTTGGTTTATAAGGAGTTCCTAAAATGTGAATAATGGATTAACGTTAGTAATAATTAATAGGTATATAATAGAATACTCATTTCAATAGACCGTTAGAATTATTCCGAACTTTTTGTCTTTCTCACTTGTAAGTCCCCATTAATCGATAATGCACATCCGCCTTATTATATGATTCAACTTTAATAAAAAATTATAAAAAGACGAAAAATCATCATTCAAAAAGCTTTATATGCGTACAAGGATGATCATTTACTAATTGTTTTAGTAAACACGAATAATAAAACACGTTTGTATTTATTTTTATATATATATATGTATCTGTCTGTGTGTATTGAAACTCTAATTATATATTTTGCCATCGTGATTCTTGTGAATAAAATATAACAAGCACCTGAGGAGTACGCAGAGGAGAGATCAAAGCCTAAATTGACACTGCAATACGAATAATAATTATATAAAACCACCAGGGTCGATAATAAAAATGATGAAAATACAAATAACCATTATAACATAACGTTACACAGAAAATACTAAAAAATCGCTCACAATTCCCCCAAAAAATCGGGGGTTGAAGTAAGAGGCTCCGGAACTTTCAGATATACTTTTCGCACCAGTTTTTTTGCTAATGAAGTCGAAATTCCGGTGATTAGTCTCTTTTAGAGATCATGTAATACCCTCGTTACATCGATTTGTTTTTTAAATTGACTTAAAAGATTTTATAATTTAAGGTCTAGGCATATTATTATACAGTTAATATACCATGACTTGAAAATTATTTAACACCAATGTAAGATTTCTATGTAAACCAATGATGAAATCACATCCACATGGTACTTAGATATAAGAAGATGTGGTATGAGTGCCAATGAGACAACTCTCCATCCAAGTCAAAATTTATAAAAGTAAACCATTATAGGTCACAGTACGGTCTTCAACACGGAGCCTTGGCTCACACCAAACAGTAAGCTATAAAGGGCCCCAAAAAATTACTAGTGTAAAACCATTCAAACGGGAAAACCAACGGTCTAATCTATATAAAAAAACGAGAAACGAGAAACACTTATGAACCACATCAACAAACGACAACTACTGAACATCAGATTCCTGACTTAGGACAGGTGCAAACAAATGCAGCGGGTTTAAACGTTTTAATGGTACCAAACCTTCACCCTTTTTCTGAAACAATAGTGTAACATCACAACATAGAAAGACACACTATAAAATATCAACTGAAATAGCTACATATTCTTTGCAAGAAATAATATCACGAAATCAGTGTGTTAAACCCTTACAAAAATAAATATTTGCATTACCTTTACTGCATGGAATGATTTTAGGTGGGCAATAACATTTCACTTTTCCTATATAGAATGCACTAGTACAGAGCCCTGATGCAGGCTGTGTTTAATGTGGACAAGGATCTAAAATTAATGATGAAGTCAAATATTGAAATACTGCAATAGTGTCATATTTACAATAACAGTGGCATAGAAGAAACAACTTTAACAGAATCATTCAATAAGTTATGATTGTTGTTAAGTCAAATCTACAGACGTATAACTTTGGTATCAAAATGATCACAATAGCTTTGTTACGTAACTTATTACATTATGATTTTAATCATTCGACAAACCTATGGTGAAAAGCGCAAGAATAGCATATTTAAAAGTTAAGATGAATAATCGGTATATATTTCCAAAGATAGAATTTTTTTATACTTTGCCTAAATGAAGATTTGTCAATGCATTTTTCCAAAATATAATAAAAAGTATGCGTCTTTTTGATTTTTTTAAAGCTACAAGCCGTGCAAAATTGCCCAAATTTATATAGATTGTTCATATTAGTGAATAAAAAGAAAGCTATGAGATAGAATTTTGAACTAGAATATAAGAAGTTAGATTTCATAATATGCTTCAAGAAATGTAGATAAAATGATGTCATCGAACTTGTATTCTTGCTACAAGCAATAAGGAAAATATCATTTTTCACTACAAGAGTTATTTTCCCATCAATTGCCAAGTTGAAAATTTGATTCTGACATCTTTAATATTTGGTTTGATGTAAACAGTTTGAATTATGCATTGAACCACCAGTTTTTCTTTATAAAAATACGCAGTCTTGCACGTAAATTTCAAGCACGTCTCAAAATTTGAAAAATTAGGCAAAAAAAAAGACCGATTGTGTACTGCTGTTGTACATTCTGGTTCTGATTTTTCGGATTTTGATAAGGATTCGTATGAGGAGACATTCATTGGAGTTTAAAAAAAAAACAAATGTATTGTAATTTATTGAATGACTATGACCTTTTATCAAGTAAAGTTTCCATTAACCTGTCGAAAATCGATCGTTCTATCGTTTAGCGTTAGGACAACACAAGAGTGGTCAAATAACATTTGTATGTCTGCAAACAACAAGAGATTCAGCAACTGATCATGACTATCGAATTAACCATGTTTGTAAGTTATGCTATTTCAAATTAATTTTACCGAAACCACTTCTTTTTCAAACTGGTTTTTAAACTTGGTAATGCTTTTTTTTACAGAATAGGAACCACGTCATT